CAAACTTTGTAGAAAATTTATAAAAATTGAGAAAATTAAAAAAAAAATTGTAGCCCATTCAGTTTCAGTAGAAGACGAGCTCGAGTCAGAATTTGTTTGCATATTTTAAGCTACAAATTTAAAACATATTTAGTTGGTGTGCTTATTAAATACAACATTCACATTCAAAGCTACATATGTCATATCCAAGAGTCGGTAGTTTGCACCTTTTCCCAATTTTTAGAACTTACATTGCACCGTAGCAGTAGTCGTCTTAAGTTTGACATACTGACAGTCGATTTCTCAGTGGATGTTTAATTATAATCAAAACATTATCTCTTATTGTCATCTTCTCAGTGTACTTAATATATGATTAACTCACCACCACCTTTCATAAGATGTATTAATGGCGAAACCAGCTTTTCCTATAAATCCTGTAAAACCTGCAGTTTGTTATTTTGCGAAATCCTAGGGAAGGAAACAATTGCAAGCTGACACCTTTTTAATAATGGTTTCAATCTGCTCACACGTATGAGTTGTCAAAAACCATTGTTTTGAACATGTAAACCTCAATCAAATGTCAATTACACCAATTTACAAAAATATTTATTAAATGTAAAAATCAGTACAAAATCAGTACAAACTCAAAAAATCAGTAGATTTTGCGTACTGATTTCGGGCTCTTAAAAATCAGTACAATAGAAAAAAATCAGCACATGTACTGATTAAATCAGCGCATCTGGCCACCCTAATGTCCGTAGCAAGTTCCAGTAATCTACCATAAACACTTCCAGAAAAATGCAGTGTGAAAGATTCGATTTGTATGGGAGGTGCCAAGCCCCTTCACCTAGCGGCATGTAATATACTTTACATCCGATTCTCATACCTACGAAATATACACAAAAAGTTTCATAAAGATCGGTCAAGCCGTTTCGAAGGAGTTCGACCACAAACATTGTTACACGAGATTTTTATATATTAGATCAGAGGTGGGCACTTTTTTGTAGCGAAGTAGTTAAAGAGCGAGCGACGGCTAGATAAAGGGGAAAACAGTTTATGAGAGGAAGGGCATGAAAAGTTACAAAAAAAAAATTATTTATATCTCCCCAAACATAATGTTCATCGCAGAACGGCTGCGGTAATATTGACCAGTGCTGCCACTTTACCACAATTGTGGTAGATCTACCACATTTTCGGTCATTTGTCATTTCTACCACAAATACGACATATTTAAAAAATCTACCACAATTTTACTGTTAGATACTTTCATAAAAGTTGAACAGCAAATTTTCTCCTAAATATC